CGGGTGACGGCAAGATGGCGGGCAACGACGACGCCATCGAAGAGTGATAGTGTGTGAAGCGAATAAGAGAAGGAAAAACGAAGGGAATAATTATGGTTTTGAGGGTTTGTGTATATATTAGATATATACACATACATATACATGCATGTATATATGTAGATATACATGTACGTATGTAGATTCGTATATGTATATACACATACATGTGTAGATATATAACACACGCGTATGTAGATATATATATACACACACGTACGTAGATATATATATACACACACACACGTACGTAGATATATATATATATATATATATCCATGGATACATATATATATACATAGATACATGCATATATATAAATACACACGTATGTAGATATATATATACATATACACACATGTAACATGCATATATATAATACACACGTATGTAGATATATACACACACGCATTTGTAAATATATACACACACATATAGATATATATATGTGTATAAGGATTTGTTGATTGATTTTTTTTTCTTGTACTAAAAAAATACATACATACATATGCATATACACACACGTATTTGTGTGTGTGTGTGTACACACACACGTATGTAGTTATATATTGGAGGATTGTTTACCTCAGGACTCAGTCGAGGTTTAGTGGTCGGCGCGCTTGCTCACGGCATAGGGTTGGCGACTGTTCTTGGAGATATTGGCATGGACAAAGTTGACAATGTCTGATCGAATTGAAGCCTTCATCACGTCCGATAATGGGACAGTTGGCGCTGCATCAGTGGCCATGTCCTTCAATAGACTGAACAGAAACAAGAGAGTGGTCAGCAGTGACTGCCATTGGAGAATGATCGTGTGTGAAGTGAAGAAGAAAAAGTAGAAACGACAGGAGGGATTAGGATTTTGAGCTAGGGTTCGTGTTTATATATGTTTATAAGGGTTTGTTGATTGATTTTTTTTTCCTTTTGAATTATAGAAAATGGGTCATTAATCGAAATTACCCTACATTCGCAATACACTATTAATCCCAACTTTTCATTTTTTCCGACATTTTGTTCGTTTGGTAATATACCATAATCTAATTACTAACACATAATAAAAAATAATCTAATTATTTACATTTCATTCTCCTTTTATCTTCCTTCCTCAAATTCCATTCAAGGCCCAATCCAACCCATTTAGGCCAATTCAAAAAATTGTCCTGAATTCAAGCCCATTTGCTCGACTCAAGCCTATTTGCTCGAGCCCAAAAAGTATAGTTTACTCAAGCCTGACGTCCATTAAATTTTGTATTTTATATAATAAATTAAATTTTATAGTATTTGAGTTAAATTTCAATGGTCAACTTCAACTACCTCACCAATCTCCAATCAAATGCGGTGAGTTTGAATCCAAACAAAATGAATTAGCTAAATTATTATTTTAGCCTCTCTAATTTAAAATTAATTTCAATAGGTGATTTTAAATATTAAAAACAATATTAAAGTCTTTTATCTTATTTGGAATGATTAAATGAATAATTTGTGTACCAATTATATCAACCAATGATTTCGAAACATTTTACTAGAACTTTCAAGAAGAAATAGGTGCAAATTACCATTGAAATATGCTGGCATTGGCAAAATAAAATACATTTTATTTGAAAGGACTACAAATAATGAAATTTATTTTACGGTTAAACAAAAACACTACAAAACAATCTATGAAATATCAATAATTTGTTTATTTTGCAATTTTTTTTTCCTTTTGTTACAAAATAAATGAACCAACCATAATATCAACTTTCATGATCATGTGTTTTCCCAAAAACAAACATCATTATGATTTTTCTTTTCCTAAAAAATTTGTCATTTTGAAGTATTGTGTTTTATTACCACAAAAAAAAAAAAAAGTAGTTTTAACCTTGATCTGTATTCATTAGGCAATTCAATATTAATGCCTTCACATACATATACTTTTAGTCTATGATCATAAGATGTTCTTCAACCATCTTCAATAATAAGAAAATTCTATGGACACCATAAAATTCATAAATTCCCATCATCCAGCTGCATCGAAACATCAGAATCTGAAGCCTCTTCTCTTCTAATATAGCCAGGCATGTCATGGAAAATACTAGGCAGCATAGCTTTTCAAATAGTTCCTAAATCTTCATCCTCTGCTCACCACACTACTGTTATTCTGAAGAAGAGAAAAAATGTTTGGACAACAGTATTCTTCATATTAATACGTTCTCTTTCACAAGTACCAAGTTACATTCCACAGAATCTCATCAAACTTGTAATACACAACAGTTTGCTCTAAATACCAGCAACATCAAATAATCGATAAATTTCCTTCAAATCACAATATTGAGTCAATAATTGATTCAGCAGCCTATAGAAGCTTATTTACCAATCGCACTACAACACGGTATTACAGTCGGAACACTCTTTAGTCATGTTTAAATGGTATCCTAAGAGAGTTTGTTTCAGCTCGCGTTAAAAACAAAATAAAAGTGTAAGAGAACTAAGTCAGATTTGAAGTGTTTTCCTTTTAGTTGACCTTGTAAATGCATAACACATCATCAGTAACTTGTAAGCTTGAAAGTGCGTAATGTAATGTAACCTTTAACAGATCTCCTAGTCCTGTGCATCATTGCACACACTCTTTCAAGGGTGGCAGCTCCTAAGCAAACTTCTCGACTGTCTCTGCACCTCTTATCATCAAGCGGTCATTAAAGGGTCTTAGTTGGTGATTCAAGCCGTTTCCATTAATCATCATCTTCAGAGCTTCCTTCATCACTAGTGTAATCACTACTATCATCATCTTGATCAAGAATATCCAACTGTACAGGCCTAACTTGTATCGGCTCAGGAGGTTTGTGCAATCCTGGAAGAGCATTAGGCCTCAATTGTTGTGGCTCATCAACTCTAGGAACAGGAAGAGAATCCAATGGGGGTAATGGCACAGGGTCCCCAGGCTTCCATCCAGGAGGGGGCATTGGTAAATCTCTGGGCAATTCCACTGGCATTCCAGGTTTCCAACCAGATGGTACAGTGATATTTGGAGGAAGCAGACCCTGAATAGCAGCCAGATTAGCAAGAGGATTAGCATCCGTTGGCACTGGAGCTGGAGGCTCAATCATTGGCTCAATCGTTTTCTCAGTGCTTTCAACTGCTTTAGGCAAGCCAACATCAAGGTCTGCAAAGTTATACAACTGGGAGGCTCGCATTTGCTCTTCTTGCGGGGCGGGAGGAAGAGCTCCACGTAGCGGAGCTTGTCCAGCGCCGAATTCAGGTGGCGCGAAAGTCGTATAGCTAATTCGATGGGCATACGACAATATATCAGATAATTTCAACTGGGATGCAACCGTAGTCGAACACAAAGAATCATTTTCAACATCATCCTTTGTCTTAACCCGTTGAGGACGTCGATAATCCGCATAATCATCAAACAGAACATCAAGAACCTGCTCAGCATCCTTGAGTTTATTAGCAAAAGCACGAAGAGCAGCATCCTTGGCCCGAATCTCATAGGCAATCTTCTGCTTAGAGTCCTGAAGATCAAGAATCTCCTGAAGCTCGGCAACAGCTTCAAACAACTGGGTCTGCAGAACATTAAACAGGGACAGAATTTCTTTCGAAGTAGATGGAGTAGCATCAAGAGGCGTAGAGGGCGACGACTGCGTTTGGGAATTAAGAAAAGTTGGGAGAGAACCCCGGAACGCAGTGAGCCAAAGGGAGCGATTGGGGGAGACTTCAAAGAGCTTGGAGGCGAGGGTAGCCATTTGCAGGAGAAGAGCTTGAGCTCTGGGGAGCGGAGGAAGGAGAGGGAGAAGGGTCGATGAAGGAGTTGGAGAAGAGAGATTGGGTTGATTTTGGTGGTGGGATTGTTGAGAAGGAGGCAATTTGGGAGGGGTAGGGTTTTGAATTGAGGGAGAATTGGGATTGTTCAAGCCCAACCTAGCAGGGGACTGCGCAATTTGGTGCTGAAGCATATTGATTTGCTCTTCAATGGATCGTATTACGAGTTAAATTCAAACAGAACACAGAAAAATAAGAATCTGAAACCTGAAAGACAAGTACAAGTACAGGAATTGAGAGAACCTGAGATCGAGGAGAAGAAGAAGAAGAAGAAGATCGGCGCGAGAGGGCACGAGCTAGAGGGAAGAGCGGCGCGTGAGAGGAGGTCGCCGGAGAAGCCAATGGGTGGGCGCCATGGCAGTACAGAGTCCGAGCAGCGGCGACGACAGTACAGAATAGGGAGGGAGAGCAGGCGATTTCGTTTTGCAAATTAATGATCGATTTTCCTTTTTTTTTTCCTTTTCTTGAATAAAGTGGGCTGGGAGCTGGGCTGATGGGCTGGAAATGGTGGGATTAGATTGGGCTGGGAGAAATAGAATGGGCCTTGGTATATTCGGTAGCTTTGTATACAAAAATTTGAGAGCAGTTGTCCTTATTTATCCCCTATTTTAAAAAAATAACCAAAATAAAATATTTAGGACCGTTGGATAACTATTTGGTTTTAATTTTCTGTTTTTTAAAGTTTCCACTCAGTTGAACTTAAGACTAATTTATGTGAGCTATTAAAATAATAACTATGTTCGTAATAATCTATCACATTAAGTCCAGAGTTTTTTTTTTCTTTTAACTTTTTTTTAATGATGAAAATAGAAAATAAATTATCTGGTCATTTGATTTTAGAGTAAACAATGGAAACGAAAAGGAATTAAGGAACAAATACGAGAGGAACAATCACCTCTTATAGTTAATGGTCGACTTCCAATAGCCAATCTTCTAACCAAACGCCTGATGCTTCATTCATCATAGTCAAACAAACTAGCAGCAACCCTATTTCTCTCTCTTCTTATAAATCTGAAAGATAGAACCACGCAGTTTTGAGAAAGTCTTCAAATTTTAGATTACATCTCCAAATTCAAAATCATCTTCCAATTGAAACAAAAGCAGCTTGAAAATACGTAATGAATCAACCTCGAGCACAAGCGCATGATACTGATATCAACAACGATACAAACTCTTTTCTTAGAAACGAGACCTTCTGCTAAATTTGAGTGAAAAATAAAATGGAACGGATAGAAGTAAGCATAACTACTCCTTATGATTAGTTTAAGTCTCAATCTAAACTTCATATATTTAAAGGAAAATGTTCAAAATAGTCTCTGTCATTATTTTCCCTTTAACTACGGTAAAAAAAAAGAAAAGAAAAACTAATTTAATATTTCAATACAAATAGCTTAAAAATTTTGTAAATAGTTTGAAATGTTGATGACCTTAACTTTACATTAGGAAAACATTTGGGAATAATTTTTACATAGTTAGAAATATTTCTGTCACATTAAAAATACTATCCAACCCAAAATCATCGCATTTGAACCTAATAATTTATAAGTACATTCCAAATGAAAGTTAAAATATTTTTTTTTTGTGAGAACATTTTTAAGAGTATTTTTTATGCACATTGTTGAACACTTGTTTTTATTATTAATATAACGTTTCTTGTCATCTTTTTGTCGTACATCCGTTTTTTTTTTTTTTCAAATACAACAAGTGGGGATGAAGGAATTCGAGCGGATGGAGGGATTCGAATTTATATCTCTTAATCAGAGTCAATTACCATTAAACTACACTCATGTTAGCATACATACCCTTCAATTTCATGTTTTTCATTTCCTACTTTTTAATAAAGAAAACAAAACTTCATTTGATAAGTATTTTTTATTTATTGTTCTTTCATTTTAACTGAAAAATAAATGGAAACATATTTGATAACCATTTCTTTCTCATTCTTTAAAATTTTAAATTAAAAATATTCTTTATATGATATTTAAAATTTAAAATTAAACATTTATGTTATATTTATTTTTAATATTAATTATGCATTTTCTAAGTAAAAAATATAAAATAATGCTCTTATTTAAACTTTAAAAAAATTAAAATGACAAAAAAAAAACTTAATTTTATTCTTTGAAAATATTTCTTGAAAATAGGAAACATGAAGCAACGATATTAAATGTTTGTATTTTTCAAAAATTACAAACAACCCAAAAAAAAAAAAACTAAAACATGACAAATACTATATAATAACCTTGAACCTAAGACCTCCACTTCTAGATTAAAAAGTCGATGTACAACCATTCCACTAATAATTATGTCTTCTAAAAAAAAGTGGGAAAATTGACAAAATAAGCCTGTAATCGCACTCCTCAAAACACAAGTTTTCTACCTACTTTGTCAAATGACCTCCTATTTTGTCAATTAAAAAACTTAAAACAGGAAAAAAGTGATAATTATATATAATTATTCTACGAGAAAGACATAATTTACAAGCTAGAATTAAAAAAAATAAATAAAATTTTGACGCCAGCAAAGCACCATGAGTGGCAAGACGACCTTCAATTTTCCAAACATTATTCTTAAAAATAGTTGGATGGATGATATATATTTGGAATAAAATATGATTAAAAAAATCCAAAATAGGATAGTATACATTTTCTAAAAATGATATACTTGCTCTTTACCTTCTCCCTCTATCTTCCTTCTGGACAAACTAGAGAGGAAAAAACTGTTAACAGATCTCACATTTCTCACATTTGAAAGAACATAGACCTTACAATAATTTATAATAGACATGAACTACTTATCTCATTGTCAATTAATTTTGAGATGGAACATATGAATAATAATATGGTATAAGAATCCAATAAGTTCAAACGAACATCCTATCCAAACCAAGATCGAAGTCTTATTCAGAAAACAAAACGCAAGAGAGCTTAAACTTAAAAGAAACAGAAAGGACAAAGCTTTAGGCTTAATTTTCGACCGATATGGTTTGGCTGCAAGAAGGGCAGGCTGATAATCCTATCGAACATGCTGTCAACTCTGTCAATTATGTGCATGAATGGTAAGTCCACTGCACTTGGCAGATTATTCCAACGCAAAGTTACCAATATTATGAGTTGGAATTCAATTGTCAAGGCGGCCAAATAGACGCATGTGAGAATCAACATCACAAAAGCATTGCCCTTTTTTTTCACCTTTGTTTAGCTTCTAACGCGCATATTTCCATGTTTATCGCTGTACCATTGTTGAAAAAACAGAGTCCCATCTGGTAATAATGTTCTTCAATCTTCTGCTGTTTTTTTACACATGCTGGAGATGACGTGTGATGAAAAAGAAAAAATATTGGGCCTTTACTTTCTGTTGCTCTGCATCACCAAGAACAAACGAAATTTGCAGACATTTTCATATTAGCTCAAGATCTTAAAGAAAATAAACATTTGTTGTGTTGTTCTAGTTAAGCTATAAGACTAGTTCTTGCAGGCTTGCTGAAAATAACTTGGGAAATGACATTATAGGAGCGCAGGGCAAGTGCTCGACGAAATGCCAAAGAGGGGATGGTGTATGGGAATTGTACGGATGTTGGCTTAAGTTTCAAGGGAATCCATGGCAGCCTCAGATGCTTGACACAGGCATTTGGATGGGGATAACTATGCTCATCTTCTCAGGGTTCAGCTAAAAGGCAATGGCAGAACGGGTTCGGTTCGGGCACTCGACAGCAGATATGGTTTGATCTTTCATCCATTTATGCAAACTAGAATTATCCGCATTCTTCTTCATGTCTAAAAGCATCCTAATCAGCTTGTGTAACTTTATATCTTTTGGCACCACAAAAAGACACCTTTTAGGCCTGTCTGCTGTCCCACCTGCAGAAGCTTTTTAAGTCCTTTTCAAAGGGAACAACATAAAATACTGCTTCTTCATACCCAAGAAGACTGCATCAGCACAACCCAATTTCCCCTTATTTAAGCAAGTCTGCGTCTTTACACAAAGAATTTACATCGACTTACTTTAAGTCTATTGGCCAACCGGTACATATACTTTTCCTTTCAATTAATTGGACTTATGAAGGGGAAAAAAAACAAAAAAACGAAAAAGGACTTCTGGAACAACAAAAAGACAAACCCTATTTCAAAATCATTTTTTACATAGATAGAAGACCTTGCTTATATTCATCACTATATATACAGTTGCTTCTCTATACATACAACTATAAAAAGCTCCAACTATCTTGTCTTTGTTTGTTTGAGGCAAAGAATCTTCTTCATTCTCTAGCTTTGTTTCTTTGTGATTTAATAGCAATGGTGGAAACTACAGGACCAACCGGGCGAAAACTGAAGAAGGGCAGGCTTCCTCCTAAAAGAGGGAGTGTCAAACTAAAAATAATATCCAAGTTCTTTGAGATGGTGGTCGGATTTGTGTCGAAAGTAGGAGGAAGGCAGAACAAAAAGAGGATGGATCAGGCGACAACAGAAGAACCATAGTCTCAACAACCATTCGACCCGAGTTCAATGTAGCCAATGAAGATGATTATGATGTGTGTATGCTGCTAGTTTAAGTCTACTACATATAGTTGTGTGTATAGAACAATTCAGTCTATAAGTCATTCCTGTGTACTGTCTATATGTCCATTTGAACCTGAAGACGGTGTTAGAAAAATGCACTATATTTCTACATTGTTTACAGGCCATGGTTTAACTTACATTTTGCCTCTATCCATCCTTGGTTTCTACTTTTTATTATCCTTGTTCTCTGAAGAATAATTGAGAACTGCCATTATTTCTGCACGAGTGCAACAAAATTAATAGCAGGTTTTCCTGATAACCTAGTTAATTTTTGGAGAACTGACATTGATAATCTATGAGTGAGTTCATATATATAGTTATTAAAAAAGAAGAAAGAAAGAAAAAATAAACTACGACTGATTAGACAATCATTGAGAATAAGCTTATACAAAAACCTACGGATACCATTCTAGTCCAAATGAAGATATTCATGTTATCTACAATATATCTAAATTACAATTATCTATAAATACAACACAATATTTTTCTCTCAAAGAACGTCTATATCTCATCAATATATACATACATCTAAATTACAATTATCTATAAATACAACACAATATTTTTCTCTCCCAAAGATCGTCGAGATTTTGTCAATGATTGATAAGAACATCTAAAATAGTGTGTTGATATTACAATATCCATGAAAATTGGTTACAACATCTAAAATTTTTCATGAATATATAGCGATGTATAGGCATTTAATTTATCAATGCATCAGGGAAGAGAATCTCCAACTCAAAATATAACTTATAAGTTGTTTTTCTCCTCATTATTTGTTAATTAACCCAATTTTATTATTCATATATTTATCCATTTATTTCTAGTCGTCTAGTTATTGGTGCATATTTGACAATTTCATCGTGTGAAACAACTAGCACTACCAAAATGATGCATTTTTAACCTAGCATGGAGGGAAAGTCATGGTCATGGTCATTGTAAACTAACACTTTCAAACTTATAATCATTCTAAGAGCACAAATGAGTAACACACTTATTTTATTGTAAGTGAGATTCAAAGGAACATTCCCCCTGACTAGTAGCAAGTGTTCAAAGAAGACCATATTTGTTTAATTCTATGCTAGTTTCAAGAAAGATTCACTTTATTTAAGATCTCGATCTAAATTTAAATTCAAAACACCGCCTTTCATACGTGTATGTGATAAGGACAATAATGCGAAGTTCATTGAATAAAATGATTCTATTGTTTAAGACACAATTCAAGATAACTTTTCCTCTCTAATAAAATTCTGTCAAGAACATAGAAACATGGACGAAGAGTTAAATGTAGGTAAATTTCATGTAAAGTCTCGAATAAACTATTACTAGTTCTATTATTACTTGGACTTTTTGGCATGGATATCCAAACTTACTACTTTGCGGCTGATTTTTCCATACTCTTTTCCATTTTCTAGGTTCATGAATCACCCCTTCGTCGAATATTCCCATTCTTAGTTTCCATTTTTTTCGATTAATAAGAAATTTTTAGCTTTTGTAGACACCTAAAAGACAAGAAAATTGAAGATTGGGTGGCTCTCCCACGTAGAGTCTCCTTGCTTTCCCCAACCTCTTGGGATATGTTTCCACAAAAGAATTCACATTTAATTTTTATTAGAGTAGCAAATCCTTGAATACAAAAATAAAAATAATAATAATAATAAAAAAGAGGTTCATTTGATAACTTTTTTTTAGCAAGCCTTTTCTTTTAGTTTTTAGTTTTTAAAATTTTGACCAAATTTCGGACTTCAAGAATTAAAAATAAATTTTCGAAAACTATTATTTTAACTATTTAAGATTTTGTTAGAATTTAAAAAATATTTTAAAAGTTGATAACATAATAGAGAAAATTGTTGATAAACTAGTATACTTTTCCAAAAGAAAAAGAAACAAACAACAACAAAATCAAATCATTATCAAATAGGTTTTATAAGCAACGAAACTAAACTACTATTGAACAAGGCCCTGAAATATATTAATTATGCAGGTTTCAGCTATATTGGATTCATGAGATGGTACAAATTGAACAAAACATTGAATTGTCTCTTTAAAATTCATGGTTTTCAACCTACCAAATTTACAATGCTTGAGGAGAATCTATAATGCATAACTTTCTATCCCAATCACCCAAAAGGCCAGTGGCCACGTGCACATCAACCTCAGATATCTCAATATTCATAATAAACTTTTTGGATTCCAAATTTCTAAAAGCATATAACACACATCATCTAATGAAAAAATTATTTCATTTTGAAACACTATTCTCTAATCAATTCATAAACCTGCCCTACTTGACTCTGACTTTAATCGGTTTGAATTTACGAAGTTTATAGTTGGAAAGTCTAGACTTGTCTGTAATCTATATTTGGATGGTTCAAATTACAGACCTAAATTTATGTCACCTATATTCAGCCGATAGATTTAATACAAAAGGAAAGGTAGATTTCATAAGTATATATTTTTTTTATATGCATGAGTGTTTGAACATGTACACCTCGACTAATCTTACGGGACAACCACCTGAGCCTACAATATTTGGTAACAGGAAACACATAGGAATTACTAACTTCTAAGTTAGGTGGTCATCATGGAATTTGAACTCATTTCGTCTTAATTAACTTAGTCCTTTTAGACCAATGAACCACATACGATGACTCGAGCTTCAATAACCTGAGTTTATATAAATTCTACATGAAAGGGAAAAAAAAACATAGATATGTGCACCGTACTATTTAGACTCAATAATAAGCATTTTAGTGCAAGGCCCCCACCCGCCCTCCTCTCTTACAATTTCAACTTTATATATGTGTAGGGCAAAGGCCAGACAACAAATCAGTTCAATGCCCTCTCTTGGTCTCCTCAGTGGGTCTTGTTTTTCCAGATTTGACTTTTTTTTTTCTTTTGTTCTTTTTTCTCTCTATTATTCATCCAACTTGAGAGTTAAAAGTGACCAAGTTAGTCTCAAATTTTCAAGGGTTATCTGAGCATGGATATAGACACAGACACGAATATGACACCATTTGAATATGGTGACACGTTTATTAAAATATACAATTTTTTTTAGTATATATAATTTTTATACAACAAGGAATTTCGAAGGTTAATAAGTTTATATATTTTTATGTTTAAAAAAATGAGTTTGATGTATTTAACTCTCAACCTTCGTTATTTTATTCCAGATCCATACTCACTTTTTTACAAGACACACGACTAGATTATCTGACACGCGTGTCCGTCGAATACGTTATCCAAACTAAAGTGCTCATAGTCCTTAAAGGGCAATTAAAGAAATAGGTTTAGGTTCACGAGGCTAATGCGGTTTAAAAAGAGTAATGAATGAGCTGGATTTTGCCAAAATTAGTCAATTTAGTAATTGAAAGCAATGGGATATAGATTTTAGGAAGGAGAGACAGAAGCGAATTGGTAAGAAGATATGAAGAACTCGTTCGAAGTGTAGAAATTTAAATTTTCTTTTATAGGTAAATGCATGATAGGTCACATGTATGATATTCTGATTATAACTCATTCATCATAGGCTTTTTTGTTTAATGTTTAGATCTTCTTTCGCTCTCTCTTGTCTTTACTAACTTTGTCTTGGTTGTACTCTTTATTTATATTTGTATTCTTTTTTCCTTTCCCATCATTCAGTCCTTTTAGGTTTGTATCTTTGAACAATTTTTGTTACTTTTCATTTATTAATGAAAAGTGGGTTTCTTGTTTAAAAAAATAATAAAATTAAAAAAAAGCCTAATTCATCATAAGTCTCATTTGCACCTAAGACGAGTTCTATTGGTTGCACTTAAGACGAGTTCTATTGGAGATCACCTGTCCAATTCTAAGTCCTCCACTTATTCCACCTCAATCCCAAATTACATACCTAATATTTTGATTGCATAAGTGGAACTAATTCCCAAAATACTAATAATTATTTTATTCTAGTTTGCTATTTTCAAAAATATTTTGGATGCTAATAAATTTCTTCATCTTGTAACCTACTTTTAAAAGTGTGAACCAAAGGCACCACCAAAGCACAGCTTACCTTTAAGCATAGCTCAAATTGTCAAGGTATGAAATTGGTGACCCTTTTTTTAAGTCGAAAATTTGAATCCTCACCATTTATAATGTTATTTAAGGAAAAAAAATTAAATCTATTTTTAAGAATGTTTTTGAAATCTTGGCAATATTTTTTAGAAAAATATATATCTAACATTTAATTTTTGAAACTTATCCCAAATTTCAAAAGTGATTTCAGAAATTGAAATACTAAACAGAGATATTATTAATAAATAAAAAGAAAATTTGCCATTAAACACATACTTAACTATGTGATAATGGTGACAAACTTCTCCACATTACATAAATAATTAGTGAACCAAGGAAAAAGTAGGGCAATAATTTAATCATGATAGAAAGACATGAACACTAAAGTCTAATATAACCCAACCACTGAGAGGACAAGATATAAAATGGAATGAGCCGTTATAATTATGCCACTACCATCTTTGACCATCACTAACAGATATCTAGAGTGAGAGGACAAAGGTAATTTGATAATTTACCCAACAGGAAAAAACATTAACCATGTGAAACCATAATTAAAATTAGTACCTATTCATTTTTTTTCCAATGAGAAAGACTAAACTAAAGAATAAAGAAAGGATTGAAAAAATTGGTTCCGACCAATGAATCTTTGCCCGCAATCATTTCAAGACATGAAGAGAAATGTGAACGCGAATTAAAAACGTTGAAAGCTAGCCTATTAATGGAAATGAGAAGGAAGGAAAGTCATAAAAATCAATCGAGATTAAAAAGTTATATATTTTTTCTTTTTTTGAAAAAAAGAAATTATGATCGTTTTTGTTTACGCTGTTAAAATGAGAATTAATTCAAATTAAGTGAAAAACCTATAATAAACAGTAAAGATAAAAGATTCATAAAAAAAAAAAAAGAAACAGTAGAGATAAAAGAAAAGTACAAAAGGAAGTGACGTGCATAAATTTAAGAATAATAATGACATCGGAATAAATTAGGAATCCTTCTCCATTGAGTGGGACCCACATCAAGAATGATTTCCAACTTGGGAAGATATTTTCTCATTCTTTTTTTAATACAAGCTTGAAGTTTGAACTCACGATCATTTGGTTAGAGATAGATGTCTTAACCACTTGAGCTATGTTCGATTTGACACCTAAATTTGAGTTATTCTCTCATTCTTGTCATTGTTCGATAAACAAAGTCTCGTAAACTAAACTAGTAATTAAACAATGACGACAAAATTTTCTTTCAAAGTATTGTAATTTGTAAGTTGTCCTAGTTATATGAAGCAAAAGCATAGACAACACTTTGTTTGGGTAATGTGTTTGTGTCCTAACACGTGTATATGACACGCTAACACACTTGGCAAGATGGATGTTAAACACTATCTAAATGGAATACAAGTATGATATTTGTTAGGCACATGTCAAGCTCTTTGTTAAATATAATAAATAGGTATAAATAGTAATGTAAGATAAAGAATAATAAATTTTGAGAGTAAAATATATTAAATTTGTTTTTTTAAACATATAAATGCACAAGTTCTTATTGACTTTAAATTTCTCTAAGGTATAAAAATAATATTTATATATATATTTTTAGAATATATGTATTTTACTAAACACGTACTTATCGTTGCTGTATCCTCGATATATAAAAATTAAAGTGTCATTGTGTCCATGCCTCGTGTTGTCTCCATACTTCGTTGAGTAAGGGGTTGATTAGGATATTGAGTTCCACATTGGTTTAAATGCTAATGGACTTGAAAGAGATCTGAATTTGTCATTGGGTCAATCCACAATTACCATGTATGAATTTCTTCCTCAATAGCTAAGGATTCGTTCATTTGGAAGTAATTAGGATGTTCAAGAATTAATCGTATTTCTGAATATTTAAATATCTGAGAATAAATGATACTTATATCTATTTTGCAAGATTTATTCATAGGAATCCTACAAAGATTTTCTGGGGATGTATTTATTTTGTGGGATTTGTGGATGATAATAAAGTTATAAAACATTCCAGTAACATCTCTAAGTTAAATTACGATAGAAATGCCATTAGGATATTATTGAGGTATTAAGAGTATATTGGTAATTAAACAGAAAATTTGTTAGGAAGAGTTGTTAGAAATAGGATGAATAGGAAAGGATTGAACCGTTAGCAAGGAGTAGATTTGTATAGGAATACTCAAGTGAGGGAGGGGTCCAAGTACTTCAAATGACTTATCAAATTATTGTTTGGAAATTTTAGTTTAGGTAGACCAATTTTGTTCACTTATTTAAGTTTGGGAGATTCATTTTTACAATTAACAAATTGTTGATGTTGCTATAGCTTAGAGTGATGGTTTATGCAATCTACCCTCCTAGAGGAACAACTTAGGCCAGGTTCGATGATATCCACCATTTTATATGGGTATACAGAAGCCCATCATTTTGTATTTCTTTTAGATGTTGATGCTACGGCATGCAGGTTTCGATCACATATGCGGTATGCCCAAGGACGGCTCCTAACCTAAGTTTCTACAGTATCAAATGTGAAGCAGAAGAACGTACAAGGCATGATCAGAGAAGACTCGAACTGAAGCAGGCATGTGAATAATAGAAAGCCAAAGAAGAGAGAAAAGCAAGACAACTACATGGAACTTGAGGATTAGGAGACCTACTTTTATGTCTCTGTTATTTGTACATGCCAAAAGCACGCATCAGCCAGCAGCCTTCGGATATATAAACCTTCCATTATTGTCAGAGGCAGACCCTGCATCAAGGACAGTTTTAGGACAAGGGCAAGAATACCACATAAGTTTATAAATAAAAAAATGCTGACATCAGAACTTAATTTCCAAGACCTTCTCTAGTAAATGTTTGTTAGTATGGTGCCAAAAGATGGAGGGGCCATTGCATAAAGCAGAAGGCTCCAAGTGGAGGTTTTGAGTTTGCAAGGATGTAAGCTATCCATTAAAGTAACAGATGTCTGGTCTTCTATTGGATTTCTGTCTTTGATGAGCTTGCTTCCAGCTCAGTTAACTCATCCAATTTCAGGTCATTGTCATCTTCATCGAGAGAGAGCTTCGGCATCATTGGCAGTCATGCAGTAGGGACACCAGGAAGATATAAAATTAAGACTGTTAATGTCAATCACACAGCTTTGTTGGAGAACAGCAAATGAAGAAATCAGCCAAATTCCTTTTTCAGATACTTAGTTCCGTTTAGTCCAAATTTTCTGCTTCTCTATCAAACATTTTTCTATATAGGCAACTGCCACTATCAGTTATTGTTCTTATGATAAAAACTAAAGCCTCATCTTAATGAGAATGGAAATGAGAGAGAGGAAATCAATCCAAAAAGAAAGGTTACGAAATGAATTTTCTAAAATTGAGCTGATCAATTATTCAGTGTCGATCAATAGAAGGCCTAGAGGTAAAACATTAGCAGGCCTAAGACAGGGCTGCCCCCTCTTCTCTTCTCTTTCCCCTTTACAATTATCAGGGACGCCCTTAGTCGTCTTGTTCACCTTTTTCAGGAGAAAAGGATCCTTAGAGGCTTCTTGGTGGGCAACAAGGAAGTTCCTTTAACTCACCTACAATACGTGGATGATACGATCATCTTCAGCCAAGGCTCATGACAATTTGTTTATGTTACAAATTTTTCACCTGTTATTCCAATTGGAGATCTTCACCATCGCTATATGCCAGTCGACAGTGGTCTATTGAGAGGTTTACAGTGTACTACTGTATCCTCGAGAACCACTCACTGAATTTTCTAAAAAACTAAAGTTAAAAACCAATTTTATCCCAACTCTCGCACTTCAAATGAGGTTGGGAGTGATGGTCAGATTAGTAATTTGGAAAAAGAGATTTAAGTATAATTGATTTTTCAAAATGATTTTAAGTTTTCCTCGAATCAATTTTCTAATTTGACGACCAACTAAGAAGGAAGTGATTTTGATAATAGTAAAAGTGATTTTAGCCACGCTCCCAAACACACTTTAAATCCTATATCATTTTGACGAACAGGTACAAGGACGACAAATTTATCATTGAGAAACGCGGGAGAAAATAACTCACAAGTCACAATCTCAGTTGGTTAGTTCAGCTTATACTTTGTTTTTCTTTTCAACAACCTTCTCCAAAGTCTACTGGTCCCAATCTTCCATCGCTTCTTCAAATACAAAAGAAATAAAATCATCAAAATAGATATAGCATATGATACTCGCCGACATGAAAATAAAATTGAGATGTCACGAAGCAAAACTAAAGGCAACAAGAAGGAAATGCTAACTATATGTTGAAAGGTGAACAATCTAATCTGAAGATTAAAAAAAAAAAAGAAAAAGAAAAATCGATAACAATAAAACGGATGAAGGAGCATCTGAGAGATGGTTTATTGAAACCTAGGCGGTAATTTTCGTCTGATCTGGCTTGAGCTGAGCCGATTATTTGAGGCTAGGGACATACTTTGCACTTGTTCTTGTTTTTTGAAGCTGAATGTATAATGCTCAACGATGTCCTGCTCCTTTGCCTGATCGCCTCTTGAAGCTTGATTGTTGCTTCGGCGGGATCTCTTATCGGCACAAAAAACGATTGACCTTTCTTGGGAAACCAAATCAAAATCTATACCATCTGCTTCGAATTTTGATTGACTAATTCGTGTGAAATTGGAAACCTGGCACCGGCGATCTGATCGCATCGATTTTCAGCCGGGACATGGAAACGGATCGGTGGTTCCCCAATGGAGTAATACGTTTTCGAGGAGGCAAACTTCGCGCGGAAATTCCAGACTTTGAACTTCGGCTTCTGCCCTTAAATATTGGAAAGTTACAAATGTACCCCGTAACTCTCCATTTATTTCGAATTTACCCTTCATGCTAAATCCGCGTTCCATAGATCTCGGCATTTTTTGAACGATATGTACATGTATTTATGGGGTTTAAATCAATACGAGGTGAATCAGGGTAAAACTAAAAGAAAGAAACAAAATAAAGAAAATATCAACGTATTATTGAATAATCGTTCTAAATTTATTTAAAGAAAATATCAACATATTATTGATTAATCATTTTAAATTTATTTGTAAAGGGTGAAATATTTATTTGTCCTTTTTCAATATTTGTTACTTCAGTAACATTTTATATTTGTGGACATCAATATTTTATTGATATTTATATCAATATTTTCATAAAATTGAGACTTTAACATTTATTGATCGACATTTAAAATCTTGATCAACAAATAACATCATCTCTATTTTAATTTCACTGTTAATTTTTAATGAGTAAAAAGAGAAATATAAAAAATACATATATTCTATTTTCAAAAAAACTGTAAAAAAAGAAAAGAAAAGAAAAAAGGAAAAATACATTAGGTTTGTCTCCTACGATTTCTTAAACATGTTATTCACTATTATTATTTGAAATTTTAGTCAATTAAAAAAAACAAAAATAAATAGGTTCAAAACTACTTTTTTTTTTAGTTTTCCAAAATTATACAGGAAAAAAAAACCAAAACAGTTATAAATGGGTTGTAAAAATCATCTTATTTGAATTTTGTCGAAAATATTAATATTTTAAGGTTTTTGAATCTTGTCAAGAATATTTTCTATCCCCGAGTTAAAAGTAGTGGATATAAATTTATATTTTCACCCGGTGTTGTATTATATATATAGATATATATATATATATATATATATATACACACGCGCGCACACGCACGAAGAAATTTAAGAATTGTAACGAGCTTGAAGCAGAATATTAATATTTTAATAAAATTTAAAAATTGAGCGAGCTTAAAATAGAAATAAATAAAAATGATATTTATGCCACCATCCAAAATATCTGAACAAGAAAAGCAACAAAACGTCATCGTTTCTCATTTGGTATCGGACCAGCAAGCAAGCAAACAAGCCGCTGCCTTTCATATCATATCCAATACATTCCCCAAAATAATAATTCTAAAAAGAAAAGAAAAAAGAAAAATCCCAATGCGAAGAAATGTAAACCCCAACGGCAAAAGTTCAGACTTCGCTCGTTAACCGTTGGCCAAGAATGCGAGTCTTCCTCATCCTCGGGTCCTCCTCCGCCTCCATTGCCGGACCTCGCCACCACCGCCATAGCCACTCCAAGCCTCCCAAATCCTCGCTCTCCAACTTATCCCCCACCGGAAAGCATTCGCCGCTTTCTTCTCGTCCCTCCACTCTCCATTCCCGCCCCCCTCTTCTGTCCTCCGTCCAATGGGACATTGCCGGCGCCTCATCCGGCGGAAGGACTCCCCTCCGCCACTACGCCGACGTCGCATCGAAGCTCGCCGAGCGCGGGAAGCTTGAGGATTTTGCAATGGTCGTGGAGAGTGTGGTCGTTGCTGGTGTCGAGCCCTCGCATTTCACTGCGGTGTTGACTGTTGAGCTTGTGGCCACGGGGATTTCGCGGTGTCTTAGAGAGGGAAAGCTTTGGACTGTTGTGCAGGTCTTGAGGAAAGTCGAGGAGCTTGGAATTTCAGCTGTGGGGCTTTGTGATAAATCTGCTGTAGAGTCGCTGAAAAGAGACTGCCGCCGTCTTGCCAAGTCTGGGGAATTAGAGGAGCTTGTTGAGTTCATGGAGGTTCTTTCCGGTAACTAAAATCATTTTATTTGTGATGTTGTAGAAGTTTTCACGAGTGGACCCATCGATAGTAAAGATTTTAAAAAGAAAGAATGAAGATGCATTCGTATAGTTGGAGCTGATGATTCTAAGATAATGCTTTTTAATGAAATTTTCATGCTTGTTCCTAGTGGAATTCAATGTTGATTTGAGGGAAGGAATGGATTTCAAATTTGGCGCTAAAGCTTTCAAGCACACTTATAGATTCTGAACTAATTTACTTGAATATAGAAATCAATTATTACTAAACAACCCGCTTTGGTTAATGTTCATGGTTTGACTTTCAATATGTATTTCTCTGCATTTTTTGACAACTAGCTACCTTTTTCAGGTTTTGGTTTCTCAATCAAAGAATTGATGAAGCCGTCCGAAGTAATAAAACTGTGTGTTGACTGCCGTAATCCAAAAATGGCAATTAGGTAAAGCTTTATTTTTGTTTACGTATCCACCTTCAAGAGGTTAAATTCATCTAAGTTTGTAATATAAATTTAGGGCTATTTGAAATAGAATGACTTTACGTCATTGGAGAATGGAGGGTGAGGAACCATTAATGGAATTAATGTATATAGTCATTTGGTTTTTTGTTGACTTGGTAGTCTTCTTCACCTGTAATTGGAACCCTCAACAGTAGTTAGTGTTTATCTGTGACTGTGAGCCACTAATTTGTTATTCATGTATTTATACAGGTATGCTAGCATTTTACCACATGCAGATATATTGTTCTGTACAACTATAAATGAATTTGGAAAGAAAAGGGACTTGAAATCTGCTTTCATGGCATATTCAGAATCCAAGGCTAATATGAACGGTCCTAATATGTATATCTACCGCACAATAATTGATGTCTGTGGTCTCTGTGGTGACTTCAAGAAATCTAGGAACATCTATCAGGTATTGTGCTAACTGCAAAGATCATCTTTCATGCTTAATATTTAAGTTTCTTCTTTCCTTTTTCATGATTTTCATTTCCACAAATCTTTTGACTCCTTACAACCGTATGCTTGGGTAATTCTTCTTCAAATATCTATCTAGAACTGGCAGCTGTATTTTACAAGCATTTGAGCTCTTGTAGGTTAGAAAATGTTGTGTGCAACAAATAATTAGACTTATGCAGAGTGTTTTTTTCTTTCTTTCTTTTTTAATAAGAAACATCACTTTCATTATAAAAAGAGAAAGTACAAAGCGGGGAGATGAGATGGGTAGTAGCTTTAGGTTTAGCATGTTAACAAATATTACTTACTTTGTAATTTTGGAAGTGCTGATATCATTTATGTCTCTACAAAAACTATATTCACAGAGATTGTCAATTTCTGTTTGTCAATTTTCTGCAGGATTTGATCAGTCAGAATGTCACCCCAAATATATACGTTTTCAACAGTCTCATGAATGTAAATGCCCATGATTTGAACTACACATTTCAATTATACAAAAATATGCAGGTAAGCCCCCCCCTCTCTCCAGATATCTACACACAAACATTATTGCAAAATAGAAGATTGAAGATACAGAGTTCCTTCATTGTTACCCAACATGTTCAGTGCATGTCCCGTGTTTATTCATGCTTTCCGAAGATTGAAGATACAGAGTTTATTGACAATGCGGTGTATCTAATATGAATATTCATGAATTCAGAATCTTGGTGTACCAGCAGATATGGCCTCGTATAATATCGTTCTCAAAGCCTGTTGTCTAGCAGGAAGAGTTGATTTGGCCCAGGACGTTTACAGGGAAGTAAAGCATTTGGAAACAACAGGTGTGTTGAAGTTGGATGTCTTCACCTACAGCACAATTGTAAAGGTGGAAGACATACTCAGAACATAAAATTCACGTCTTGAGAATCATCAATCAGATTCTATGGTACAGTATCCTCACATTTGAGGATTGATTATTATTTTTCAGGTTTTCGCAGATGCGAAATTGTGGAAAATGGCCCTTAGAGTCAAAGAAGACATGCAATCAGCTGGAGTATCTCCAAATATGGTGACCTGGTCTTCTTTGATCAGTTCATGTGCTAACTCAGGTCTTGTCGAGCTGGCAATCCAATTGTTTGAAGAGATGATTTTGTGTGGCTGTGAACCTAATGCACAGTGTTGTAATATTCTTCTACACGCTTGTGTTGAAGCTCGCCAGTTCGATAGGGCTTTTCGTCTTTTTCGCTCCTGGAGGGCAAAGGAAGTATGGGATGACATGGAAAGAAAAAACAGCACAAATAGTAATTTGAATGCGGATCTAACATCTCAACTTTGTACAACTAACATGACTAATGCCCCATTTCATGCACATCAAATCAACTTTGTTGGGGATTTTGCTTTCAAGCCTACAATTACAACCTATAATATTCTAATGAAGGCTTGTGGGACTGATTACTACCATGCCAAAGCTTTGATGGAGGAGATGAGAAGTGTTGGACTTACCCCCAATCATATTAGCTGGTCAATTTTGATTGATATATGCGGAGGATCTCACGATGTGGAAAGTGCTGTACAGGTGAAAAATGTAGTTTTTTCTTGAAGAAGTTGTTTTCCTCTCATTGTTTCCATTGTCATCATTTCATTGCCCATCTCCCTGAAGCTAAAAACTAACTTCCCTAACAATGCTTGCTTCCTTCAATTTTAGTGGATACACAGAAATGGAAAACCAACCCAGCTGGCTTTGAATTCGATCACTTGGCTAATGTTCTATGCACTTTTTGGGCTTACAAACGTAGCTGCTAAAAGTGTTTTAATTCATTGAAAAAGTATAATCTCTATTAACTCATTGTAATTCGGTGAAGAGATGGATGGGCTGCTTCTACTTTATAGTGTATTAATCATTCTCCAAGTTTGATAAATGGTATCGATTCACTTATAGCAATCTTTATTTTCAGTGCAGATCTTGACAACCATGCGTATGGCTGGAGTTGATCCTGATGTTGTTGCCTACACAACCGCTATCAAGGTTTGAATCTCTACTGCCATACTTTCAAGTCTCTTAACTATTTTCTTCAGACATCTAGAGATTCTTTGTAATGACGTTTACATATCAGCATATATTAGTCGGCTCTTCTCTTGATCCATCCTTGTCATTGGTAATTTAGGTTTGTGTCGAAGGTAAAAACTGGAAGCTGGCATTTTCATTATTTGAAGAAATGAAAAGATTTGAGATACAACCAAATTTAGTAAGTATAAATTCATGCTTTTCTTGCTGTTAACTTATAATGTTATACATCAAATAATGTGGAAGCATGCTTTCAAGATTCTATGTACTTTTTATTTGTTTTGAGTAGATTCAGAGCGATTTGGCTCTCAATCAGAGTCCAACACAATCTCCGGTCACATGTATTTGGTGCAATTTATGTTGGTCTCATATATCTCTCCTCGGCTCCTCGAACATCTGTTTACTCTGACTTTATTTTGTTAGCAACTTAAAATTTTAGTAGTAATACAATTAGACATGCAACAGCTGAGATTCCTAAATTGTGGATGAACCACTGGAAGGAGAAAAGTAGAAGAGAGAGACATCACCCATAATCAAGGTAGCTTTCTTTTTGCAGGTGACCTATAGTACACTTCTGAGAGCTCGCAGTACTTATGGTTCATTACGCGAAGTACAGCAGTGCCTTGCTATATACCAGGACATGAGGAAATCAAGGTAACTTGTTTGAAGTTTACAGATTATATCATACTTCTTTCTATAATAGAATCATGCTAGCTAAACTCAACGGTAATTGGAGCATCTGTCTCTGGCCAAGAAGTCATGAGTTCGAACCTCCCACCCCCACTTATAGTTAAAAAAAAATCATGTTGGGATCCAATTGCCGTGACTGATTTTTAGTATCTTTATCTGTGTTGATTGGTTTATATTTCCCCATAATGAAATAGAATAAAGCAATCTTTCACAATTCTCTCTCTCATGCCAAACCCGTCTTCGTCAAAATCAGTTTAAAGCATAGAATTTCTTTTTGCTTCTTTGTTGAGGATCCACCTACTCTTTCTCTACTGAATACAATGTTGGTGTTTGTTTACTGGATTAGGTAATGTAGAGTTTACTTGATGGAAAACTAAACCAAGTTTTCCTTTCAAAATAAAGGTTTCTTTGCAATTTGCACCATTATTCTAGGAGATGAGTAGAAATTTATTTCTGACTTAAATTTTTTAGGTTCAAATCCAATGATCATTATCTCAAGGAGTTGATTGCAGAGTGGTGTGAAGGAGTTATACAGAATGACAGTCAGCAGCAAGGGGAGATAAATCCTTGCAAGAAAATTGACATTGGGAAACCACGAGGTTTAATTCTTGAAAAAGTTGCAGAGCATCTGCAGAAGAGTTTTACTGAAAGTCTTGCGATTGACCTTCAGGAGCTCACAAAGGTTGAATAATAACAATCAACCTCTGATTCTTACAATTATTCTTTGAGAACCAGCACCAGTTTGTCTTCGAAATATTTGCATAAACTGTCTCAAATTTCAAGTATGTCTGCATGAGACTAAGCACCTACGGCATGTGATCAGGTTGAAGCTCGGATCGTTGTTCTTGCGGTTTTGCGAATGATCAAGGAGAACTATGCTTTAGGTATGGACATATTTCTGAGAAAAAACTTGGATGGTATCATTAATCTATTTCCCCTCCATTCAAGGCGTTGTTTTCTTAAATGCAAGGGAATGAGAATGAACCATGAAAAAGATAGAGAACTTAGGAACTCTAGCTATGTCTATTTAACCCTTTATGGATACTTACATTTTCATCATGGCTGCAGGAGAATCAGTAAAAGATGATATCCTCATCATCTTAGAAGTCAGTAAAGTTGAAACAGATTTGGTTCAACAGAACTTTGAGGTGAGAGATGCAATAACCAAACTCTTGCAAGATGAATTAGGGCTTGAAGTTCTTCCTGCAAGGCCTACTGTTGCTCTTCATAAAGTGACAGATTCAGAAAGCTCTAACATGTCAAATACAAAACTGAAAGGAATTATAGGAAGAAATAAGTACTCCACTAGGAGACCTGCAGATGTACAGAGGCTAAAAGTCACAAGGAAATCATTGCAACACTGGCTGCAAAGAAATAGGTGACAGTAGAAGATTGGTATTTAATACCTCAGAATCATTTTCTTTTTGTTAATGATATAATAAAAATGTCCTATCTTGTAATTACTTTCATTTTCAAAGCTGTACAAGTCATGTTACTGTATGATCTGGTATAAACTCAAATTGAATTACTTGATCATCATTCATTAATGAAAGTATATACCTCTTATTCAATTACCACTCTTGTTTCAATTACAAACAACCAAGATAACATAGACTTAATGATTCAAAAGTTGAAGAGAGCAGGATCGAATGTCAAAATTTGGAAGAAAGTGTTATATCACTTCATCAGTTTCATTTCTAAATGAGATGTCACACTTTCCTCATGTAGAAACCGTCAGTGCAAACTAAAAAGAGTAAGAACTTAAAACCAAGACCAACAAATTTCGAGAGCCCCAACTGATACAATTATGACATTATGTTGCTAATCCCCACGAGTTTGCTGGTACTTGATAAGTTTAAAATACTGCATTTCCCCTCATTGATATCAGGATATGTGGTGTCATTTCTTCTTGAACATTATGTTGCTGCTCTAAAAGGATTGAAATAGAATTATGACAATAAACATCAATTGAATTTGCTACCGTTATCCCTACTGAATGCAGAGTTACCTTTGAGAGCTGGACATGGTTCGGTCAGAAATAACGATATCTGATCATTGCTCAAGTTTCATTATGTTCCAACAGAAATTCAACAATTGATTACAATACACACTACCAAGCCCTTAGTTCACAGCCAATCCTTCTGCTGCAGCTTCAATGGCAAATAAACCTCTGACAGATACTGAAACCCAAACGAGCTCAATGCCTGAATTTCAGCCTTCTGCTTTGTCTTCACCATTAAAGTGAGCTCTTCAACCCAACCAGGATTCTTTTTGACAAAATCCTCCTCTAACAGATCTTTCCCAGTCTTAATATCCTGCTCTGTCATGGGTAACCTGCACTGCTCCGGTATCTTATATTTGTCCAAATCACTGGGCCTTATTCCCAGCCACTTGATATCTGGAGTAGTCAAATTAGCACTATCATACGACATATTCTTCGATCCACAGCCATAGACAGAGAGAATTTTCAACCCATATGGATCACTGTCCACAAGCGCAAGCACTGGAAGCTTCAGCTCCATCTTCATCTTCCTCAAGAACAGTCTCGTGGCCACATCTGGCTGTCCCTTAGCAGTCACAATTATACAAGGAAATCGATTATAAAACCTATCCTCGGCTAACCTAATATACGCGGCATCTTTCTCAACTAAGAGTATAAACAAAGCATCGCTCTGCATGTCTCCAACTCTATCAATATTTGGTGGAATGGCTTTTCCGCCCATTCCCATTTTAGTGCAATCGATCATATCCCCATTGTCACTGAAAATGAGTCTTCCCACTACCACACCTTTCTCCGCAGCAATCACATTGAGACTTGACCGAGTACAGCCGAGAATGCAAGAAACATCATCAAGCACCGAATCCGACTGAGTCTGATCCTGGAAGAGCTTCACATCTGTGTAGAACAGATCTCGCTTGGTTACATGGATGTTTTTCATGCAGAGTTGGTGGACAAGCTGAAGAATGCGAGTAGTAATGGTGGATTTCCGGACGGTGGATATATTGGCGTAGGGGCGCAGGGCAGTCTTATCCTTCAGCACGATCCGATCAAGCTCCGGAACGTATAACTGGTTGGCCGCCGATCGAGAAGGAACGTCGAAGGCAAAACCATTGCCGGAAAGAATGGAGCGAGCAATTTTGAGGATCAGGGATTCAATTGTGGACTGCACGGACGAAAGAGAGAGATCGGTGACCTCGCGGCAGGTGGAGGAGAGGCCGAGGTCTTCGAGGGTTTTAGATGAAGAGGAAGAAGGAGCGGTGGAGCAGTCGCCGAACTCTTTGATAATTTGAAGAATGGCGGAGTCAGGTTTGAGGCGATTCTTGAAGGGAAGTTGAGCTTCATCGTCGGGATTGAGTTCAGATCGCCGGCGCTTCCTCTTGTCAGCCATGGCAGTGGAGGGAGAGATAAGAGCGACGGAGTTGAGGGCTGGGAGAAGCGGGAAAATGACAACTGAGTTCTGGGCTCTTTAGGGCTTCTAATTGGTTTTCAGCCCAATAAATATGAACAAAAAGAAAAATAGAAACAATTTGAAAAAAAAAATACGCGTAAATTAGTGATTGATATATTTTAGCATTAGTCAATAGAATACAGATCAATTTTTTTATAAATGCACTACACGTAAATTAACAATAATTACTCATTTAATTGAACTAAAAAAAAAAAAAATTTGCTATCTCCGATCAAAGACTGAGTTAGAGTATTGTACTAAGAAGGGAGAAGATCGATGCACGATATTTCTAAATAAGAGTCGTTATGATTATTTTTTATATAGTTACTCAAAGTAATTATTATTTGTTAGAACTTACAATCTTTTTTTTTTTTTTTGAAGATATTAGAACTTACAATCTTATTCCTATATTTTTGTATTAATTTAATTTTTGTTATTTGTTTCTAATTTGAAGACCTCGACCATGAAATGTTCCATATTAGCTATTAACTAAATGTTCTATATTAATTATTAATTATATTGTGTTGACATCTACTATTTCTCTGCAGATTTGAGGGAACTAAAAAAGAAAAAATTGACTCGCTGTCTTAGAAATATCCTAGAAATATCCGCATTTTTCCTTACCTAAACGGAAAAAAATTACACAATGATTCAATAATTATTCAAAACATTCTGGCCCGGTATGAATTTACAGAATGAAATTATTTACCCGATTCTATATTTTTATCATCAAAATCTACAAGGGGGACTGTCCCAACTGTTCAGAGTATAAAACTAACCGTTGCCTTAACATAAACTATACTCTTTAGTCTTTACTTTCCTTCAACCTTCATATCAGTGTTGATTTTCAAGTGGGCTATATACTTTCGGGGTTTTTTTGTTCCATAATCACTACCTTCTTGCAAGCAGCCATGGGTGGCACTGGATCAGGGCAACTTCATGAGCAACAAGCTTTAAGAATCTCTTGAATGTCTGGATCATCCCCTGCTTCTTTGTCCTAAAGTCAAGAAAAAGGTTTAAAATTTGTAGCTTCAGAGAGAGAAGGTTTACCACTACCAGAAAACGAAATTCAGAAAGTTTTATCTTAGATTCAATCCTGAAGATTATTGATTAGGATTTGTCGCATAGCATAAGAGGTAGCAGATCAGTACATGTATGGAAAAGGGACATACCTTGTGAATGTAAGAGATGTTGTTTTTACCAGGACCTGCAACTATAATGCCACCTTGCTGCCTGAAAAATGACAAGTATACTTTTCTTGTTAAGCATAGTTCAGAGTTGAAAGAGATTTGATAATGGAATGAATGGTGAATGAATCTAAGATTATTCGTTAAACCAATTTCCAAGTCTTCAGGGTAATGAACTAGGTTATTTAGATGTGCCATGATGATCAGTTTTACACACAAAGTGAGCAGACGAAAGTGAATCAGTGCTACATCAACCTTGAGTCCTCCATTCCTCCATTTTACCCCACGAATCAGGAAGGTACTCAAATTTAAGTTTGGTTATGTGATCACTCAAAGTATATCTTGAGATCTGGGGATCTTGCTATTTGTTCATGTCGACTCAGGAAATTTATTCAATTTCACGTCCATGCTCCGCAATCTGAATTTTCATTTTGATTCTCTAAATAAAGATACGAATGAACACAATGTCGGAAAGGTGGGAGTATGCTTCTTGAGCACAGAAAGAGTTCTATATTTGCCTGTTAAGCTAACAGTGGGAGGTGATTTCATTTCATCAAGTCATCATCCTTTTTCTTCTCTTTTCTTTTCTCACTTAAGAAACGGGAGTCGGGACTTCGCTAATCGCTCCCTATACCCAGAGGCACCCGGATCTAGACCCTAACCCGAGAGACGTCAAGGATTTTTGGTATTAAACTCACCAGAAGATTTGAACTTGAGACCTCTAAGTCAGTATGATCAAGATATCCCAAGCTCTTGCTAACTGGGCTGCCTTTTGAGGCTTTTTCTTTTCCCACTTCTTGTTATTCCCAGATTCCATAACTTCCTAAAAGGTCTAGTGGAGAGAGAGAGAGAGAGAGAATAATTAGAATTTTCATTTACCAGCCCCCTCTTCTCACAGTGTCCTTTTGAAAAGACAGATTCCAATCTTGCCGATAGCCTTCCATGTATAGTTGAATTATCTTGAGACCCGCCTAAAAAGTCATACAAGCAACCAAATTAGCACCTACAAGCTGATATTGCTTCTTAAAATTATTACAAAACTGTGATCCAGACATACTTTGGGAGTAAATGTGGTCGTAACTCCAGAGACAAATTGTAGAGCCTCATATGATGAATGAGCAGGATCAGCATAAACTTCTGAAACAAATATTACACTCCCATCACTTGATCACAATGGTTTACAATTAAATGAACACGGAAAGGGACCAGTTTACATTATAATTAACCCAGAAGCCCAGTTCTTTAAAGATGCTACATCCCAAATTTTAATACATACATTACTGGTTAACATTAACAATGATTCATAAGGAATTCAACAACCCATTACTAATTCAGAACCGCTGTACATTAGTTTCCATTCTTAATCTTAAATACTGCTCCATAATGGAAGAAAGTTACCTCCCTGAAATTTTGTCTGCTCACTGAATGCTTTTGCCTACATCAAATTGCTAACAGTAAATAGGAATCAACCAATTTAAACACAGTTGTTGATGTGAGTAATCCTTAAGATCAATGATGCAGTGATAATCCATCCATGGTCCATAACCATACAGTCAAACTCAAAAGGCAGAAATGGAAATAAAGCAGCTTGACAAATAAAGTGTGTCGTGAACTGGAACAGCATCCTAAATAAATCCCTCCAATATAGCATTCTGCAAAAATGCAGTAAGGGTGTATTTCATACCTGATCGATGCTACCGGGTCCAATCAGCACGAGAGCCACACCAGATGCATCCAATATATCCTGCAACCCTATCAAGTTGTGATATGACTAGATTCAAATAATTCTCACTTTGCAATTAAAAAGCGGTCGGGAAAGAGCTGTAAGTATGTCTTTTCTTCAGATAAGTCCAAAGTCAAACAACAACAGAAAAGCCAATGAACCAGTGGTAATACATTCCATCCTCCAGCAGCCATTGGAGGGGTTGATGCATTCTCCCTCCAATCGGCAGATCTCACAAGGGTGTCAAATTAAAAAGTGTCAACAATACAGATGGAAGCTAACCAATTCCTATACAGGAAAACGTCTAAAGTAATATACAGATCAATAATGAGATGCTAGATATAAAATCGTCATAAACCAACAGTACAAACGGAACAAACTAAAACTACACATATATGATTTAAGATTGAGAAGGCAAAAGGTCATAAAATATAAAATATTTCAGAGCAAACAACATTTGTATCGACTACGCAGGTTTTTTCCCATAAATGCGCCATTAGACCTAAGATATTAGTTACCTTCTTCGAGGCAAGATAGTCGGCACGTTTTCGGCAAAAGACACACCTGATAAAGCAAAGCATAAACATGTACTTATAAAGCGATAAATAGAAATGAAGAACTGTTGTCAGCTGGATAGAATTATCAAAGCAAGTACCCAAAATGACGCGCAAATGCAACAACAGCTTTCCTGTCTTTCCACAGATCGGAAATCGGAATCCCATTTCCGTTCAAATCAAACACCTTCACCGAGTCCAGTAAATCCCTAGCATTCCCGCTTTCGACATACGATTCAATTCCTGAAAGTCACATTTCATCAACCACAATCCGCAAAAATAAAAGGAAAGCCAACACGCACAGAGAATCGAAACAAATAAATAGAAACAGAGCAAATTAACTTACCGGGAGAACCAGATATGGCCGAGACAACGACGTCAGTTCGCTGAGGTGAGAATTTAACAGTATTGCTGCTGTACGAAAAACTGGAATGAAAGCGAAGATTCGGATGAGAAGAATTGGAGAAAACACGCGGCGAACTTTGGCTGGAATTCTTTAGTGGTAGAACAGTATTGGAAATTAGCGAAGTGGATAGAGTCGCCGCCATGAATCTCGCCGGAATTAGCGACTGCCGTCGATCTGTGGCGGTGTTTCTCTTCTCTTTTTTCTTTTCCCTCCACAGACGATACGGTGGCAGTTGGAATTTGGAACTGAGGCTAAAACATGGCGGGTAGACGAACAAGGGTTTTATTCTCTGTGGGCAACGATTCTAGACCATGTATTATGTGGACCAACCATATAGCGCCACGTTATCACTCAGCGAGGAAATTTGGGAAAATTTTATCCACTTGTAGAAGATTTTCATACTATTCCCATTAACTTTACTTCTCTTTGTATTTACTCCTCGATAGCCGACAATGATGTCAAAGATGATCGGCAACGACAATGATGGCGAGACTCGTTGGACATGAGGAAGATGAAATGGAGGAGAGAGAAAGCCAAGAGGTTAAAAGTAAGAAAGTCCAGATCACCCACGAACGTATTATTAAGTTATATATTTTTCTAAATCAGCGAATATAATTAACAACTTAACTGATTATTTATAATTATTTCTCAAATTTTAAAGACAAAAAGATGTTTATTTTGAAATTTTAATGATCAAGTAGACACTTACTCTAAACTTGAATTATCAAGTGTCCATTTTAAAATTTCGAATATTAAATAGATAGGTAGTTCAAATCTTAAGACAAAAGAAATGTATTTTTACTCTAAATTTTAATTATAATGTTTTAAATCGGACAAAACAATTATTTAATTATTTTAAAATAAAGTTACAGATAAAATAACCTAAACAAACAAGTAAAAAATATAATATAATCGTCAACATAGGTTTAATTTGATCTATTTCTAATCGAGATGTTATGGATTCGAATACCCACCCTAGTTGTTGTAAAAAAAATTGTAGTCATTTACATGTTTTTTGTTTTTATTTATTTTGTATAAATATATAAATAAAAAATAAAATTGTCTATACATAAATATCTCGATTTTTTAGAAAGGAAGAGAAAAAAAAAAATCTATATACACATATATATATTCGGTCCAATTTGCATCTGCTAAGCATGTTACTAAATAGAACTTGAGAAATCTCACCAACATAAAGACCTACTAGTAACGTTATCATTTTCTGTTAATTGTTTTATCTTTTATTTTTTATTATATATATATATATTTAGGAATTCTGTTTGTTGTTTTCATTTTTTACTTTTTGAGATCACGAACATGTCACGTAACCCATATGATTTATCATTTCCAAAATTTGAGAAATAGTTTTATAAATTCGATGGAGTAGTTTCGTTGCTCCGTTTTTGTTTATTAATATCTACTTTTTTCGATAAAAGAACAAGAAAAAATAGAAATATAACACGCGCGCGTGGGAAGCACACTGGAAAGTCTTAACTCGTAAGTGACGAACCCTAATTAAAAAGCACATCGCTACATCGTCTCCAACTCTCTTGGACGCTCGGCCACTTTCAGCAGATCAGTCCCCATGGCGGCCCTGATCCGCTCTTCGAAATCCCATGCGGTTTCATCTCTTTCATCCGTCTCTCTCATCAGGAGATGCTTCTCTTCAGCCGTTGCATCTGAATTCAGGTCTCCCGCCGCGCCTTCGCCTTTCGCTCTGAACCACAATCTTCCCCGCAAAGATCCCAAGGATCGGAACGTTCAATGGGTGTTTCTCGGATGTCCAGGCGTCGGCAAGGGGACCTATGCTAGCCGTCTTTGTAACCTTCTCGGTATCCCTCACATCGCCACCGGCGATCTCGTCCGGGAAGAGCTCGCCTCCTCCAGCCCACTTTCTCGGCAGGTGTGCCCCCGTTTCATCCCGTTCTTTCACCTAAAATCTAACATTTCAGCAGCGTTTCTGAGCTTTGAAGTATTAATATCAGATGGATTTTGGCGATTTAGTCAATCTTGTGTTCGTTTTGCCAAATCATAGATTGATTTGGGATGTTAACTTTGAAAAATCGCATGGTGAAGCTCTTACGATTTTTTTTTCCTTTTTGATCTTTGTTTACGTCCTCATTCTGACATTTCTCGATGCAGCTGTCAGAGATTGTAAACCAAGGTAAATTGGTTTCAGATGAGATAATTATCAACTTGTTGTCCAAGAGACTTGAAGCTGGTGAGGCGAAAGGCGAATCTGGATTTATCCTTGATGGTTTCCCTCGGACAATTAGACAGGCAGTGAGTATTCTATGGTAAAGAATGAAGCATGTCATGAAGCTAACACTTATTTGGGTACAATTTCTACAGAAGTGTTCCAGTCATTCACTTAAAGGTCTATTGTAACAACGAAAACAGGGGACCTATTCCGCCGGGTCCATCTTTTAAAATCATTGTCAGAACAGTCCCATAAGTGTTTTGATCATTGTTTTGCATTTTGAGTTATTGCCCATAAGTCTTAAACATTTATGTGAGCTCCCAAATATTTACCCATTGTCAGTTTTTGCCTAAACAGTAATAATTCTGAGAGTATAACTCCCTAGTTTAGCTGCAATTTCATACTCTCGGACCCGTTCTTGAAAAAATTGATAAATCATCATCAATATTCTAATTGCTATAGCATACAGAAAAAGCTCCTTTTTCCCCCCTAATGCTGGTTGTATAAATAATGATGATACAGGAATCTGTTTCCCTAATTTTTCTTTACCATTCAAAATTATAATTCAGTTCTCTTAATGCGTATATCTTTTTACTGATTGATCTTTGAAGGCCGCATCTTATATACTGGTTTCTTTGCTTGCATTTTAGGAAATCTTGGAGGAGGTGATTGATATAGACTTGGTGGTTAATCTGAAGCTTCGAGAGGACGTATTAGTTGACAAGTGCCTTGGGAGAAGAATATGTGGTCAGTGTGGAAAAAATTTCAATCTTGCCTCCATTAGTGTGAAGGGCGAAAATGGGAATCCTGGAATGAGCATGGCTCCACTGCTTCCCCCTTCACATTGTATGTCTAAACTAATTACTCGGGCAGATGATACGGAAGCAGTTGTAAAAGAACGTCTTCGAGTGTATAATGAAAAGGTATCTTGATATTCTCTTGCTTCGTGAATAATAAATATCAATAGGTTAAAATTAATTTTCAAAAGGCTGTCAGCTATACTTAGAAGTTTACTTTTTGCTGGACGTGGTGTTCATCTTTTGATAGTATTGAAGAAGTTGGTGGTTTCCTGTTTCCCATTCATTTATTTGTTTGTTTGTGTGGGTATTAGAGTCAACCTGTTGAGGAGTTCTACCGCAGTCGAGGGAAGTTGTTGGAATTCGACTTACCAGGTGGAATCCCAGAGTCTTGGCCCAAGCTACTACAAGTTCTTAATCTCGATGATTTTGAGGAGAAGCTATCTGCAGCGGCCTAAATTATGGTGCTGCAAATGATTGGTCAGTTGATTATTTTCAGCATATACAACAGGCATAAACATTTTTGCAGGACAATAAAAAACTGATAATTAAACAAACTTGAGGTTTAAATTTTTTCTAAATTGTTAAGTTCTATCTTTTCCCCAATTGGGAAGGAGGGAGGGGAAATACTTCATACATTTGCTGCAAACAGAGATTGGTAACAGCGTTGAGTATCTATCTCTACAGTGTCTTACACGAGGAATAATGATATTGAATTCTTGTAACTTACTATTCATTATTAACAATTGTTCCTTTGATGACTTTTATGATGTTATATCAATATGTGGGGACATAATTTTCTCGTATGACTCCTTAAAGCACTAGCTGGAGGGCCTATTTACCCCCATGGCCCATTTTAACATCCTTTATTCATCCAGGCTCAATATCTGTCGGACAATACTTCTCTGACTGGGCAGTAGGAATCTCCTGCTGTCCACCTCACCATCAAGTTTTTGATAGGTTGGAGAGACTAGAGAGGAATCCATGGAAGGGGAGATTTTTTTTAATATATAATAAATAGCTGTAAACATTTTAGTGGTTCCCGATGCTTAGTCACTAGGGAAGTATTATTCGTATCCGTTCTATTTCTTCTCCCCAGCAGCCAGAAGGGGAAAATGTGACAGGGAAGTAGATCCTTCTCCCTTCCCTAGCAAATTGTGATGTGCGTGGTTGTTTTTTTCCCTTTCTTTTTTCTGGAAGGCAGGGGGGCGATTTTCGTCCCCTTCTTGTAGAGGGGAGACTTTTGGCAGGATGAGTGTGTCGGGTCGAGGCATTGAAGTTATTATTATGGATGTTAGAATTACTTGGACAATGGTAATGTAGTTAGTCTAGAGTCGAAATTCTATTGCAGCTGGCCGAGCTGGTTGGCTCTAGTATTGCCAGACAGTAAGTTTACTCAGCTGCATACATTCAATCTGGGGCACAGCACCAGCTCTTGACTGCAATAGTTTGGTGGTACAAGATAGTCTGTGCTTCACATTTCTCTTCATTTAATCCTTTGTTGCAGGCTTGTCACTCTGCACATCAAACACGCCAATTTTCTTGTGCTCATGCTGTAGAATTTTTGTTGGCACCATTTGTTTCAAGATACTTTTGGATGCTTTGGTGATGAAGTTACTAATTGATGATATTATATTATCAATACTTAACATTTTTTTCTTTTTTTCTTTGTAAATAATTGATACTACACACGTAAATAAGTTTTAAATAGGTCCTCTTTTTTTGTTTATACGTTTCCAATACTTAGTTTGGGGATTATGATTGAGGATATGAGAATGATATATTTTGTAGGAGGGAGAGGGAATTCATCGTTTGATCTGAATGTATCTTATTCTTATGATTAGATGTAAATGTTTGTAGATGTTGATGGATTGTTTTGTGAAATTAGCTTTTTATGGTTTTATTAAATTATAATCAATTTTATTTTAAGAAAAATTATAACCAATTTTCAACATTGTCTTTGAAAATAAATAATGGTGAGAATAAGAACATATATATGTTAGGATTCATTTGGTAACGTTTCTATTTTTTGTTTTCTTGGTTCTTATTTTCTCCTTTTTAATAAATCAAGAAGAAATTGCATTTGATATTTGTCCCTTCTAATTTTAATTTTAAATTATATATTTAAAAGTTGTATATTTCTTTGTTAATATTTATTATGTATTTTGTAAGTCCATAATAATAATTTAATATTTTTATCTATGTTTTTAAAAAAACTAAAAAGAAACTTGTACCATTTTAAAAATAAAAAATGAGAACCAGAAATACAATATTTATTTTTATGTTTTGAAACAATGAGTAAAGGATCACGTTTCTCTCCTCTCTCTCTAACCCAACTTTGTTCTCTGGGTTAGAATATTTTTTTAGGATATAAAATTATAAATTGGCAGTAGAAATTTAACTTTTCAACTTCTAAATTATTAAATTATCCTCGAGTAAGATCTTAATTTAAGTCTAAATGATCCTTTTTATAAAAAAGTATAAATGATTGCACTATACATAGAAAATTTCGAAAGTGTATCTTTAATATCGTTAAATAAATTTTGACCATTTTTTTTTTTTTACTTTTAACAGACTATGTATAGTCTGCATTCACATTCCTTAATGTCCATGGGTGACATCAATAACATGCTAATTTGCAATAATTTATAATTACATTTAACATCAGCCATTATTAGATACGAGAAAGGAGATTTAATCAGAACAAAACGAGAAAATCAGAGAATGGACCATACAAAGAATAATTTATTCATTTACTTGTATTATATCTTTGCCATTCTGCCAACATGAGCTTAGATTAGCGATAATTTTGCTAAATATATCAAATATGTCGTGGTTGGTTCAATCTAAATTCAGTTTATTATTTTTCACATTGACTGAATCAAACGGAATTAATGAATGTGTCTACAACATTTGACAGATTTGTTTTCTAAAGTTTTTGTGGAATTTCGTAATCAAATAAGGTAAATTATGAAAACAATAGTTTTATGTTTCTAGTATTTTCATAATTTGAATTTTAAATTTTAAAATGTAGAACTACATTGAAAATATATAAATTTTTTTTTATAGATATATTATTTTATGTTATAAACTCATTTCTTTTTTGTTAAAATTAAAATATGTTAAATATAATATAAATTATACAACATTGTAAAATAATAATTATACAAAATCTATAACGAAATTGTTAATAAACTAATTACTATTATTTTAAATTAATTAAATATTTAATTTTTTTAGTACGAGGGTGAGGGATCAAACTCAACTTTTTCATTAGAGATATATGTCAATTAACTATGATAGCTTTGACAACTAGATATTTATGTGCTAACTACTATTAATTTATAAATATATTGCTAAAGTTGATATTCAATTAACAAATATGCTACCAAACATATATATGAAAAATAATAAAAAGAAAGGAAACAACTCTATTTTTCATTGAATCAATTATTTTTAAATTTATGTAACCAACCAAATGCACCATAATCTTTTCGTTAATTACCCACACGAATCTTAAATCTGTTTGAATTCTCACATTTACTTTTAATGTTTTGAAATTTATTATTAGGTTTTTCCATGAAAATTATTTATTTTGAAATTTATTAAGAGGACCTACATGGAATACAATATATATTTTGAAAGTAGAAAAGCTGAAATGAATAAAAGGAAAATACAAATGAAAAATTAATCAAACTAAAAACTTAGGGCTAAAATAATAATTTTACCCCTTAAAAAAAAGGTAAAAAGTAATAATGTTTCTTTTTACCACTAGGAAAAAATGTATTTTTCAAAATCATTGGCCAACGGGAACTGACGGTAAACTATTAGTAACACGTTTGTGACGTCCGTGAAAACGACGTTATGTTTTCGTAAATCGGCTCTTAAATGGCGCCACGTGTCCCGACTAAATCTCCCGGATCCATACAATCTCTTCAGCTCCCGGCTTTAGATTTCGTTCCGCTCGTAAGACCCGTGGCCCCAAGTTTTCAGCCACGTTGGAAATATCTTCGTCCTACGTGGCAACTTGGACCATCCCACAGCTTCAATTTGTCCACGTAATCCACCGTATACTCTCTGCAATATCTTCTTCCATTATTTTTGTTTTTTAATTTTCTCTTCCCATTTGTTCTGAAGAAAAAACTGAAAATTCGGCCATCCTCTCTTTCTTCAACCTCTGGCCTCCTTGTTTCCGAGGTGGTCAAGCAACTTCGTCACTGCGACTGAGCTCGCGAAGAACAGAGGAAGCGGAATTCAGCAATTTCGGAATTGAAGAGAAAGCTAACCTCTGAGATTTTCCATCCCTTGAGACCTATTTTTTTTTCCTCCCCCAGCCTCCAGATCGATCTATATCTTGAGATTGGTGAAGTTCTGATGGTGATGTTCTTCATGCATGTTTTTGTTTCTAATACCACTGTTGCTTTTAATTTGAAGCTAGCCGTCGTTTGGTGATTTGTGCTTCTTGTTTTATTTACTCTCCTTTCTTTTTTCGGTAATAGTTAATAAAGATTCTGCATCAAGTTTGGATACGTGAAGTTTCTGTTTCATAGACTAGTTCCTTGATCTTATAGGTAATTTGTAGATCGGTTTGTGTGGAAGGCCGGTTTCTTGCTATTAATGTCATGGGGTTCTCGGTTTGCTTCACTTAGGGTTTGATGGATTTTTATCTGCGGGTTCACTTACGTTCTTTCTTCACTTTCTTGCTTATACTGGGAATCGGATTACATTGCTTAACGTCTGCTAACATTTGTTTTGCAGCGTGTGTTCTTGTTTTTTCACATATAATGGTTAGGCTTTTAAGGTGCGGTGATTTTTCCAGGGAGCTAGCTACCATTGGATTTTGAGGCTCCTTGTTGGATTTAGAGTATGCACTGAATCTGTCTCCAATCCCCCACCATAGTCTGTGTGGACTTCGTGTTTCACTTTCACAATACCTCTGGTCGGTTCCTCATGTATAAGTTGAAGGGTCTTGTTGCCTTTGGGTTCTCCAACACTGCATAGAGATATGTGCTATTGTTCCGCTGATTGGAGAGGGATTTTAGATACTGGGAAACTAGACTTTCAGGTGCTCGATCTTTTTGAATCCGATTGACGACAAGTGTCAACCCTGATGAATGCTAATGCCGACAGGCACCATGAGTTAAAAGAACCAAATCACCACGTACAGGATAGAAATGGAAGTGTAAACGATGGTGTAACTGGCAGGGAACAGAGCCCGCTTGAGGAAAATGAGTTGAAAGACAATGGATTAACTAGAAATGCAGAAGGTGGACGAAAATCTGCAATTCAAGCCCATGACATTCTGCAAATACAACAGCAGCAGCAGCCTCAAGGATCGATGGTCTGCTGGGAGAGATTTCTACATCTTAGATCTCTTAAGGTTTTGCTTGTAGAAAATGATGACTCCACTCGGCATCTAGTCACTGCACTGCTTCGTAACTGCAGTTATGAAGGTCAGTAACTTGGTCTTTCTGGCACCATATTCTCCATGCAGTTGACCAGGTTATTGTGCTTCTAATGTGAGATAATAATTATTTTTTAATAATAATAATAATTATTATTATTATTTATTATTTATTATTTTTTTAAAACAAATTTTGCTCTCAACAGTTTATGGTCTCAAGATGCTTGTTAACGTCTGAGCTTTTCTTGTAATGTATAATTTTCTTAGTTAGGAAATACTAGTTTCCTTAGCTTACTTTGATTCATGTATACCTTTTATGTCACTGGAAGCAAATCCTTTTAGGAAGTACTAGTTTCATTGGCTTACTAATGATTAACAGTACTTGTTTGTCATTGAAATCAGTTCCTTTCCATGATGATTCCTCACTGGTTTATGATATAGCTCCATGTCTACTAACACACAATTCGATTCCTACCTGGTCCCTGCTTCTCAGTTTTTGTAATAGAAATATTACAGCAGGAAGGGAAGTTGATGTGACTAATATGTTGCTTTTGACAGATACCATTATTAGCCGACTCTTTAGGATTGCCTTTAGTTTCAAACTTTTATATCCTCATCTGACAAAAGAAAATGGTTACGGTACGGGTTTTTATTTTTTATTTTTTTTAATATGTTGGTCTATGTTCTTACATATGTGTGTGCATGTTTATTGCTGCATTTCTTCATTCCACACCTTTCTGACTTTTCAGTATTCAAACTTATTTTTCTGCTAGATGAATAAAAGCATAACTTTGGATTGTTCATTCTTCTTGTTAGCAAGTATGGAAAACATAAAGTTGTAGAGGAATGAATTTTTGGTATCCATCACTATGACCTATTCTGTTCTTCTAATGTATCTTGGAAATATACCAATAGTTATCAGGCAAACTTAGAAGTTCCTCGTTGCTCAGGATTGGTTGAATCTTTTGTCTTTACAAACTTTTGAGCTTTAAATATACTTTCATCAGTAAGTGCATAATTGAAACAACTTTCCTGCCTATGATCTGACTTTCAATTGGGTTTTATGTTTTCTTTTGTTTTTTTTCTGATTTACCACCCTTTCTTGTATATGTTGGCATTGTTAGTTATTGCGGCTGCCAATGGACTACACGCATGGAAGTTGCTAGAAGATCTGAAAAATCACATAGATCTCGTATTAACAGAAGTGGTCATGCCTTGCTTATCTGGCATCGGTCTTTTATGCAAGATTATGAGCCATAAAACACGAAAGAATATACCCGTAATCAGTAAGTTTCTTGAAATGTTTAGATTATAGCTTTCAAGTAAGCTTATATTTCTATGCAAGCTTATCAATTGAAATCTGGATTCTGATGGGATATTATGCAGTGATGTCTTCTCATGACTCGATGGGTTTAGTCTTTAAATGTTTGTCAAAGGGTGCTGTTGATTTTTTAGTGAAGCCCATTCGGAAGAATGAGCTTAAGAACCTTTGGCAACATGTTTGGAGAAGATGTCATAGTGTGAGTACTTTCACTTTCGTGTATCCCTTTCTGTTGCATTATATTAATAAGCTGACTTAATGGCTCATTTTAAATTAATAAATATAAAGAGTTAATTACTTCTGAATGTGCTCTTAACTAATTATTTATTATGAATGTTAGTTTCCTTTATGAGACTTGCCCAAATTTATGCCGTGTGTAATCTCATACGCTTATGTCTTTTACATATATATATACTTTTTTTACCGTGATAGGGGTATTTCATTGGACACTTGATATTTTCTTATTTATGATGTTATATTGATATTTAGTTTTTCTCTTAGTCTAGCGGTAGTGGAAGTGAAAGTGGCACACAGACTCAAAAATCTGTGAAGTCGAAAAGTGTTGAAAAAACAAACAACAACTCTGGAAGCAATGATGAAGAAGAAGACAATGAGAGCATTGGTTTCAATATTGGGGATGGAAGTGACGATGGCAGTGGTACACAGGTATTATTATGAGTTTTTGGTAAGAGATAAACAAGATCTACAATTGTTTATATCACATTGAAATGTGTCAGACATATCTGGTCAAGGATTGTAGATTTATCTCAAAGGAAACTAGAGTTGGCTATACAAATTTCTCTCTTTGAAATAGTGACATCATGGTTAAATAGTTGAATAGATCGTAGATGGAGTCTATTAGATGCTCACTAAATTGTCTTGTTTCCCTTTGGTTTCTTCTTAGTTACAATGCCAGTTACTTAATTGGTTGTAAATTATTCAAGAAGTAGATAGATGTTTGGTAACTTGCATTGCCATGCCATTTTTTTATTTTTTATTTTTTGACAAAATAATTTCTTCTAGTTTTCTCTTAATTGCCTCACAATTCTGTTTCCTGTGCATAAAATGATTCGATCGATACCTTGGCCTACTTGGATTTGAGAGATCTAAATGTTTTCCAAACCTTGCTTACCCCTGGTGGGGGAAATTTAAGGATAGTGGGCATGCTTTTTTCATTCTTTGAATTAGCATTAAATGAATTTCCTTAAAATGTTTGAAACTGGAAATTGTGAGAGAAATATCATTTTTGCTTCTCTTATTTGTCAATTGGCTATCAATGAAATATTTGTTTCAAATAATAAAAAATTAAGATTTGTCAATTGGCTATGTGTTGCTGATTTGACATGTTATATTGCCTTCATAATCTCTTGGTTTCATCATGTTGAATTGATCGATTATCAACCTTTTTCAAGGACACATAGTTTTTCAGTAGACTAGAATGACATGTATTAAATGAGTATTAGAGTGACCGATGGTAAGAGTCATAAGACATAATATATATTTAGTTCAACCATTGTTCTATAGCGTGTGTTCTGACAAAACAAAGTAGTTAAAGGAATATTTTACCAGGAAGAGCAAGTTTCATGTTTATTAAACAGGAGCCTGTCCCCATGCCGTAGCAGTAAGAAATACTTGTTTCTTTTCTATTATCTGCATTGGAATCAATATCGATCTCTTAAGATCCTTCTGTTATGTAATCTGATCCATATATATATCATCTATTTCAACATTACAAGATCGTTTAGAAGTAACCGTCATGGGTGACTCATTGGTCCAAAGGGACCAGGGTTAATTAAGAGGAAACGGGTTCAAACCCTATGATGGCCACCTACCTTGAGAATTAGTAATTCCTATGTGTTTCACGACACCAAATGTTGTAGAGTCAAGCGGTTGTCCCATGAGATTAGTCGAGGTGTGCGTAAGCTAGCCCGGACACTCACGGATATAAAAAAACAAAAAACAAAAAAACAAGATCGTTTAGAAGTTAGACGTGACTGAATTTATATCTTAGAAATGGTAGGACTGTGTAATTGCTCCATATCAATGATTAGTGCCCTCTTCACTTTAATTAGATCAAATGCATTTATCCTTTTATCAGTGTTGTGATTGGGGTTTTCTGTAGCATATATCAAAGGGCAGATAAATTGGTTACATTTTATTCCATTTATAAAACTTATTCACCCAGTCGAAATTTGTTCTCTCCCTGCAGAGTTCTTGGACCAAGCAAGCTATAGAAGTTGAAAGCCCTCGACCAGTATCTGCTTCAGCATGGGATCAAAAACGTGAATGTCCTGATAGTACCTGTGCTCAAGTTGTCCACTCAAATGCCGATGCATTTACTAATAATGTGCTTCCTGTTTTGACAGCAGAGTGCCACCTGCAGAAAAAGCAATTTGGTACGCCACTGGATACCCGAACCGTGTCAGAGAATAATGTTAATTATTAAACATATGCCTAATATGATGTATTTCATTTCTGTTCAGAAACTGTTACCATGGGTAAGGTGGAATTAGGCATGCACAGAAATCTGGATTTACAACTTGAACTCTCGACAGAACGTCCAACCAAACATGTTGGAAGAAAACAGAATATTATGCTTGAGATAGGGTCCAGTGGATTTAATGACCAGTTAAATAAGGGACATCTTGATCTCAACTCTGAAAGCCCATCCAGCAAGCTTAATTATGAACAAACAGCTGTTACTGGTCTTGCTACCGATCTCACTGATTCTAAGATGGAAGTCACGGTGTTTGAGGCAGCAAGCAACCATCCCAATATCACAGACATTAAGGATAAAGATGTTACAGATTCAGAAGAGTTTCCATCCCTTGAGCTCGGATTGAAAAGGCTTAGAGGAGTTCAAACGGCAGGAAAAGCAGTCCAAGATGAGCGGAATGTTTTGAGACGCTCAGACTCTTCAGCTTTTTCTAGGTACAAGAGAAAATGGGTTGTCCTTCTAAAATTTTGTTTGTAAATCTTGAGGCAATAGCCTTTTTGACTTGTGAAAGTTTATTTTCCATACAACGATAGGTACAATGCTGCCTCAAATTCTAACAAGGCTCCAACTGGGAATGCTGGAAGTAATTCTCCGCCTGTTAATGGCTTAGAAGTTACAAACCAAGAGAATATGCAAGATATCCGATCTCATTCAAGTAGTAATCCTCCCAATCAGTGCTCAAATGGAGATAGCAATAATATTGACATGGGTTCCACTACTAATAATGCATTTTCAAAATCCTTTGTTACTAATAACAAGTCAGCAATGACATCAACAGTCAACTGTCTGCACCCGTCAGCAGCTTTCCAATCTGTTAAAAATGACACACTATCTGTTCCTCAGCAAGCTGATAATGTCAATAATGTGGCAAATACAACTATGCAAGCCCAGTCAAATTGTGTGCACAGCGAATCTCAAATTCTGCAACTTTGTCACCCGTATGATCCCAATCATCAGCTTGTCCACAATATTCAACAAGTGTCATTTGAGCATAATGATTTTTCATTAAAGAAAATATCAGCAGCTGCCACGCATTGTGGGTCAACCAATGTGTTAAATGGGCCTGTGGAAGGTAATGCAGCAAATTATAGTGTGAATGGGAGCGCCTCGGGCAGTAACCATGGAAGCAATGGCCAAAATGGGAGCAGCACGGCAGTAAATGCTGGAGGGCTAAATATGGAAAGTGATAATGGAATAGGTGGGAAAAGCCGAAGTGGGGATGCCAGTGGAAGCGGCAGTGGAAACAAAATGGACGAAAACAGAGTTTCACAAAGGGAAGCTGCCTTGACAAAGTTTCGCCAGAAAAGGAAGGAACGATGCTTCCGTAAAAAGGTAATTTTACTTAGTCATCTTTAGTCTAATGCTTGTTATGTTTTTAGTTTGCGATCCCTTCTGTCTTGCGCTTTTGATGTGGCAGACTTGTACGTGGTTCATGATTCATATTTGTAGAGGCATTTAGCAACAGGTTCTTTGAGGACGTTAGTTCTCTCTTACTGATATCTAGACTTGTTGAGCTGTCTTTTTATCACGAGTTATAGAGATGCACAGATCTCATGGAGCATGAACGCTACATGGATACAAACACGGCAGCACTTCTAGTGAGGTGATGAAATGTGCAAGTGCAACACTTAAAACGAAGTCGAAGAAATTAATTACATATTTCTAATAATACAATACCTTGTAGTAAAAAAAAAGGTTTGTAGAAAATTCTAAACGTAGCAGTCATTTTTTAAATGATTCAACGTCTTATAAAAAATAAGTTTAAATCAGTCATGTTCATCTACTTGCATGCTCCGAAAGATAAGGATGATATTTTCTATCCTCATAACATATCATCTCTCTTATATTTCTTTTCATGTTCATTGATTTTTTAAACAACTATAAATAAATGACATAACACTGAAGCTCAACTGCCTGACAAATTTTCAATGAATGTCAAAGTGTTAGAGGGATTAACACATTCAATAAGTTTCTGATATTTGTTCTACAAGTGTCAGAGCATTATACATGTTGCGATGTTGAACATTGACATGTTGAGTTTAGATCTATGCTTCATAGCAGTCTCCTTGTGATGGACTGCCATAATTTTGTTACTATTGTTATAATTATTTTGGGACCTCGATGACCAACGCTCTAAATTTTGAGCTTGTGATTAACATTTGAACTTTTTGTTTATTTTATTGGAATGATATGAGGCGCTACTTTTCTCACTCCTCATTATGTTCTACTCCTACATGTCTATTTGCTGAAGGGGGATTATGGTATTAACTAGCTTGAAGCTTAAAAGATATGATTTGATAGGATTTTTTTTATATCCGTGAGTGTCTAGGCCAGCTTTTGCGCACCTCGACTAATCTCACATGACAACCACCCGACCCTACTGCATTTATTGCCAAGTAAACTCATATGATGTTAAATCTTAGGTAGGTGGTTACTATGGTTAGAGCCCATTCCCTTGAAGCCTTTTACTATTTATGTTGGCCCTCGTTGACTTCTAGGCCCACCCATGATTGTTGATTTGATAGGTAATATTGCACTGTACATTTTTCTATATTGAAAAACATCAAGGTCCTTTTACGTTTGCAGATGGACGAGGAGCTATTCTTGATCTATACTGAAAAAGATCGAGGTCTTTTTGTGTTTTTCAAATGATTGAGGAGCTATTCTTGATTTTGATGTAGTAACATTAGTAGTCTGAGATAAATTGTCCTCGAGAGGTTGCCAAACCACGACCACTTCCTTCAAGCACAATGCATAATTGTGGCCTCATGTGGGGTCGCAATATTGCACATTTACTAGACAGATGTGCAAATAGGAAAACGCGGTAGTAGGGGATTCCACTTGGAAAGAAAGATATTGATGGATTTCCTTGTGTTGATGTACATGTGAGACTTACCAATTCTCGACGCTGTCAATTGTATTGTGCAGAAGTAGAAGTTGGCATTGGAACCTTGAAATGGTTTTTTATCGCGTCTTGTCTATTTGAAGAACTGCATCTATTGTTATGCCTCTCTTCTTTTGTGTCCTTCTGTTGAGTTTCTGGCTAATTCTTTAGGGTAAATAAGAAGCTTATTTACTTGAGTTCTTGTTCGGGTAAACTTTTGTCTTAATAGTTTCCCTTTTTCCTTTCGCAGGTCCGTTACCAAAGCCGAAAAAGATTAGCAGAACAGAGACCCCGTGTCAGGGGACAATTTGTGAGACAAAACACAAGCGAAAACACAAGCAATGGGGGAGATGGCTAAAGTCATTGCATTGTTTTGGTTAAACAAAAGGAAAAAGATAAAAGGATTTGGTTTTCCCCTTAACAAGAAATGTGCATGTGCATGTGCATGTGCATGTGGGAAAAGAGATAAATTAGAGTGTACCATTTTAGACAGGAAAATGATGTTCTTACTTAACAATTATTCTAAATTAGACAGACAATGCTGAACTTGACTCTGTTGCCAGTGGCTACTGGACTTCTAATTCGAGAAGGCCTTCTGCCTTTCTGCATCAGAAAAAACTCTGTTTTAGTTTGCTTGCGTTTGGACACAATGTGAGTGTATTATTCATTGTCATACGTCCCTCCTCTTTCTGTCTCTTCTGTACACTAGTAGTATTTGATGGTAGATAACTTACTTACTTTTAGTGCTTTTTACACATATATATTAGAGAGAGATTAGTTTGATTCAATTTGAATAAGAAATTTGGGTGTACCAAACCAATTTCTTTTCTTTTTTAGTACAACAAACATTTCGAGAGGAGTAAGGTGCCCTAGCTCGTGTTGACAGCTTGACAGTTTGATTTGGTTCCATTTAGATATAAAGGAAGAAAGAAAAAAGATCAAACCGATTTTATTTAGTTTTGTTTACTTTTAAGTTCATTATAAACTTTAGCATTTATTCTTTTCTCACTGATCACCACCACTCCTTTCACCCATTACTTCTGTCGGCGGCCGTCTCTCTTATAAGAATATATTACATAT